GGCTGTGAAACAACAGCCTTCAGCTCGCACAGGGTGGCTCTTCCCAATATAGCATTGAAAGCTGATTCCATCTTAACGACCAGGAAGGTGACCGACGCCATCCTGAAGCGCGGTTCTGAGCCCAAATATATAGGAAGGGTAATAACTCCTTCCACTGGGACGGGCTGGTTATCAAACCCGTATATTGGCCCTTCGTGCTTCTGCAGCAAGCTCGGATTTAGCTGCATCTTCTGGAAGCAACCCCAGTATAGGATATCTGGTGAACTACCAGTGTCAATAAACACCTTATTGACATTATGATTGCCTATATGAACAGTTGCCACAAAGGGATCTGCATGGGGCATCATAATGTCGAGCTCTCTTCCTGCTCGCTTATAATCTGTCGGGCTGAATGTGATGGGCGTATTTTCCCATTCTACTTCCTCAAACGGCCGTTTCAAGGGTCTATTTTTGTTGACGGTCATCGCTTGTCGGGCATATGCCTTGCGAGCTCGGGCGCTTTGGCCCCCAGAGTGAACACCACCCGATATCATGTTTATTGTACCAGAAGGTGGGGGTATCCCAACGTAACCTACCCCTTTCCTGTCTTTTTGATTCGGGGCGGTAGTTCTCAGTCCCTGCCCTCTCCTGTTGAAAGAACGTCCTCGGTATGCTCTGCCCTGTTCAGAAGGATACTGGTTATCCTGATATGCATCCTGCGTCCCTCCATGCTGGTACCTCTGTCCTTGAGGTCGGTCATACGCCTGTACAAAATGGGTTTGAGTGGGTTGCTGGGTGTGAGGCTTCTGAACATACCCTTCTAGCTTCCCGTTACGAGCTAAAAACTCTAACTCGTCCTTCAAGTGTTGGCAGTCCTCTGTATTGTGACCATATACACGGTGGTAGTCGCAATGCTTGCTCTTATCTGCCCTCGGGGAATCATGTAGTGGGGGTGGAGGTCTCTGAACCTAGTGCTGAATTTGTGCCAGGATTTGAGACCTGGGTAAGGTCAAAGGAATGTAACTGGCATATTTCGGGAACTCAGCTGGTTTCCTCCATTGCTCACCGACCTTCTGCTTCTTCTTTTCTTCTCTTCTCGGTTGTTGTTCTTGGCCTCTGCTCGGCTTATCATCAGCTCGTCGTTTGGACGACTGAAAGTCCTCTGACAGTATAAAGCTGGCCGACCTGTCATTCACCTCGTTCCACGTCTTCGGTGGGTTTTCAAGCAAGTCGTCTAAGAACCGGCCACGCTTCAACCCATGTAACAGGGCGGATAGGCAGATCGTGTCTAGGACATTATCAATGTCCAATGTGGCTTTGTTGAACCGCTGCATGTAATCCCTCAAAGACTCCCTTTCCTTCTGGCTAACTTGCATCAGCTCAGTAGCTGTGCGCTTGATCTCCCTTTGGCTTGCAAATTTGTTAGAGAACAGCTTGGCGAGCTGGGAAAATGAATCTATTGAATGCCTGGGGAGTTTGTGATACCATCTTCGGGCTGTTGATTTCAGTGTCGCTGGGAACACTTTGCACATCATGGCATCATTGGCGTTTTGAATCCTCATGATGGCTTGATAGGTGTGTAGATGTTCATCCGGGTCTTTCGTGCCATCATATGTCTCTAGGTGGGGAATTTTGAATCCCTCTTGATATGGTTCTGCCGTGATGGATAGGTTCAGCGGAGCACTATCCAAATCCAAGGTCTGCTGATGCGACCGAGGGCTTTTCAGCTCGTCAATGGATTTCTGTACATCCCGCAGTTGCCTTTCAAGGTCTGCGTTCTTTCTCATCAATTCTTCACTATATTTGGACGAGCTGGGCTCGATATTCAACTTCCCACTTCCCCTAGGCCTGGTCGGCACTACTATATTGCTTAGAGCGAGGGAGTTTCTAGTCGCAACAACCGCAGCTGGTTGTGCATCCTTGTTCAGCAAAGGAATCAGGGGGTCATCAGGGATTAGGCGGGCAAGGATTTTTCCCATTGCCATTTCGAGAACTCTGGTTCTCTCTTCGAGCTCGGTTGTCCGAGCAGGTTCTGTTGACCTTTCAGGTCGTTCACGTTGTGAATTGTTCAGTCTGGCAGATCTTTGTCTCGTTCCTATTGGAGCTTGGAACTGTTCAGGCTGGGTTGCATACCCAGTTGGTGTTCTTTCATCATCCGTCTCACTTAGGTGATCCTGTTCGGCTCCTCCTACAAAAAGATTTCTTGGCATCGGCCTAAAGTCATTCAAGCCAGCCTCAGATACGTGATCGTCCTCCTGTTCGTCTATTTCATTTCTTGGAGGGCGTCCTCCTGTAAAGGTACGGACCATTTTGT